CGGGCGACGTGCTTACGCCGTAGCCGCAGGTTACCGGTAGCTAGATAGCTGTCGCCCTAGCTTTCTGAGCTCACGCACCCTTCGCAGCCGGAAAGAGGTCCGAGGGAAAAAAAGTTGCTCACGCGGTTTGTGCCTGCCAGGAAGTCGTCCGTGTCAGAAAAGTTGCAAAACAGCCTGCACTGTGTCCGGCGTAGGGCTCAGCTCCAGGAGAGAGGCGGCAACAGCGCATTGGGCTGCGACGGCGAGAGCTCCGGACCGCCGCGCAACCCAGGCGCAAGGGGCGGGGACGGCATCGGCTCTGTGTCGCGCGAGCAGACGCAGGATCTGCACCATCACAGTGCCGACCGTGCCGAACTTGCCACCAATTTCGATGCCGACAACGACGAGGCGCGGGCGAGCTCACGGTACCCGCAGGTTTGATGTCGCTTGCGGCGCGTTGCTGCGGTGACAGCCGGGCTTGACAAAGCCAAATCCTGGTTAACCGCTCGCCGTTGAAACACAAAGCCCAAAGCCTCTAATTTAAGCACCGTTGCCGAATTAGACCCAAAACCGGTCAAAGCCCAAAGCTGTCAGTGGGATCCGCAAGCGGCGCAGCCCAAGAACGCGAACGAAACTGGGTATGGTAACGTCGTCCCACGTGAGCGTGAAATGGCGTGACGGGCCCAGCTGGCTTAAAGTCGAGAGTTGAGGTTTGAGGCCTTAGGATTAGAAGCGGATGAAGAAGGGTTTAGGCGGGTACGATGGCAATGGGAAAGCACGACAGTCTGTCTATTAAATCCGAGTGCCACTCGTCAGGGTTTGTTTCAAGGCTCTCCAGCTCGGGTTAGGGTTTCTTGGTATCACCATGGAAATCGAGTAAGGTTGCGCGAATTCTCAATTCTGCCTACTACTATGCTGACGAACTTTTCGTTCGATGGTACTCGGAGGGGTTCCGGTTTCGACGCGTGTTTGGCCCAAGCTCACCAAACCTGTCGGTTGAGAGCGCTTTTTCACGGCGCGATGGAGTCGACTGCATGGGTGTCGGAGTACAGCCCCTTGCATTACCGAGCGAAGGATACATCTCCGGACCAGACGCGGTCCAGAAGATCGCTGAGCCGCAACCCATCGAGTGACATTCTGTTTGTGGACATCGATGCGACTCCTTCATGTGCCAAGAGTGCGCCTGTTCTGAAGCAAAACATGGTGTTGGTTTCAGCATGTGCTAAGGAATTCTTGGCCGGAGAAGGTTCAGCAAGATTTAGTCATGTTTGATTTGGTTGACCGTGTGTATATATGCAGGGGCAGCATGTAACGGAGCGTGGTGAGATGGTCCGAGTTGCCCAGAGCCAAGGGCATGTTTCTCGAAGGTTTGATTTACCATGAGTTGCAGCCCTTGGAGACCATTGACGAAGCCGTTGGCTTTGCCACGTCCCACTGGACCGGCCAAGGATCCATGCTCAGCTGCCCCTGGTTGGCATGGTTGTGAACCCTAAAGTCGAAACCAAGCATGGTTTCGACTGGGGTCAGCTTGCGTTTCGGTGGGTATTTTTTAAGAGCGAACCCGGTCGTTTAGCTTACAATCTATCATAGCCAAAAGTGGGATGAGATAACATTACGCTGCAGCTCGCATGGTGCAGGCACCAACAAATATAGTATATTATAATTTTTTTAATAATGTAAGATAAGACGACATAGCCCAACACGCTGTAGCAGCCATTGTCACGAGCGCAATTTCGGCGGTCGAAGCCATTCGCGATGTTTCTGGACTGCAGGTGTTTTCACTTTGGTCGCGTCTGCCATGGGAGCCGGCTGCTTATCCTTGCCCCACATGTTCAGCAAGACTGGTATTGTTTGTGGTCTTACTCTTCTGGCTTGTGGAGCTTTGCTCGCACACGTCTCGCTGGTGATCCTTATGAGCTGTGCTCGAAGCTTGGCTACTTCGTGCCACAAGGTGGGCGTGTAGATTTCAGAGCTTCAAGTCGGATTCAGAGTCTGGGGCTGTTTGGACAGATATGATTTGAGGGAGCCAACTTTAGCTAAGTAGTCGGATTCTTCGTAGGGACCCATGAAAGGGACCCCCGCTTGTAAAGCCGAGCCAGGCTGACCGCTGTAAGCCTTGCAACTCACGGCCCCAGCAAAAAAAAATAAAAAGGAAAGCCTCCAAAACGGTGGGATGTCTCAGGATACACCCAATGCCGTTCCTTTGCGGAGCTCGTGTCTCTCAGCGAGGCAGAGCCTTCCGATGGACGGAGTGGTCGAAACCCATTGGTGGACACCGTACCTCTTTGAGAGTGCATTAAGCTAGGGGCGATGTTTTTCGAGCCTGTAAGAACAACGATCAGATACCACAGGTACTCTTTGATGAAAAGACCTAGGTCATCATGTTCTATGGTATGGCCGCAGTGCTGATCTACATGATGCTGATTGGTGATTTTTTCGCTGACATTGCACAGTCCCCGTTGTTTGGTTACGCTGACGTTCCGCGACAACACCTTATCCTTGCATCGCTCATTTGCGTGTTTCCTCTCTCGATCCCCAGGAATGTTACAGCCCTCAGATACATATCCGTCCTGAGCACCAGCGTGATCGTGTTTTTGACAATTGTGGTTGTCGCGAAAATGCCCAGCTGTGCCCTTACAAAACCGGCGGCAGAGCCCCGCGTGTTGGAGGAGAATGGGCCAGTTCGAACGATTCTGCAGTCATTTGCAATGGCACTCTTCTCGTTCAATGCGCACACAAATGCTGTGCCTGTGGCCATGGCTTTGGACCAGCCGCGCGCAGCCCGGATTTGGCAGGTCTCACTTCTGTCCGTCCTGATTGAGTTCGGCATCTATTCGACAATTGCAACTGCGGGATACCTATCGTTCGGGGGATTGACAAAGCAAGACTTCATTCGCAATTATCCGCCAGACGATAGCTGGATGTTACTCGTCCGTTGCGTGTATTCCGTGCCGGTGATCTTCGGTGTGCCCATTAACTTGTCCCCAGCAGCGGCCTCCATTCAAGCTCTGGCAGGTCGCATTTTCTCATCCAAGCAGCAGTGTCTCGGATGGCTGAAGGTTTCCGTAGTCTTTGTACGATGTAGCTGGCCGCTAGGATGAACGATGTCTAGGTCGATGTGCTGGAGCATGCTGCGGCCCTGAAGATGCAAGGTTCCGGAGACAAACCAGCGATCCGCATCCCAACTCCGCCAGATCGCAATGTCGGCGCGCTTGCATTGTGGGGACTGTGCTCCTTTGCAGCGCTCTGCTCGCGATCTGCTGCGAAGCCTTCGCCGATGTCATCGGCGGCCTGGCCTTCCAGGGTTCAAGGTGTTCAGGGTTCAGGGTGATCCCGGGAGTATTACAGTAAACAGGGAGTTCCTTCGGTACATAGTCAGAACACAGAAGCGAATATTCTTATGGCAACAAGAACAGTCTCGAGGCTTGTTCGGGGCCTGCTTTGGCACCGCCATTTGCCTCATGTGGCCTCTTCGAGTCTATCGGCATGTCATGCGAGATCTACACTCGCACCTGCTGTCGACTGCTGTCACCATTGCCTTGACAGTTGCGTCGGTTCTAGGAGTGATAGCCTTTCTAGAGCAGTGTCTACGTGTGTTCCATCTCTCTTGAGATAGCGGCCCACTTGCCGTCAGTTCCCTGCAGAATTTTTGACTTGCAAAGTGTTTGTGCAAATACCCAGCGGAGCACAACTCCGAAGAAAGCTTCTGTGCACAAAGCTATGCAGAGAGCTTGTGTGAATCTGAGTCATTTAGACACCCAGACATCCAAAGCCGATTTCCCGCGATCCCACTTGAACAGGGTTGAACAAAATTAAGTTTTAAGTTCGTGAGTATGTCAGCTGTAGACTGTTGATATGCGATGCCGGATGGCACTGCCTGTGTTGCTCCTGTTCAGGGGGGTCCGGCCATCACACACCGACGAAGAGAGGGGTGTTCGCCCTAGGCCGGTTTCAAGCACCGCCATAAACCTCGTTAAAGGGGCATGATGCTTGTACTGACGCTCGCACTTGAAGCCGTGTCTTGCTGTGAAGCTCTTGGAATCCCCGGGACCTTGTGCCCGCGCAGGCAAGGGCAAGGAAAACAATGACTTCCACTGGTTGCAATGGGCCTTATGGTTCTTGCGCAGCTGCAGGAACCCCGTCTTAGGAAGCCCAGAGAATGGATCGATATGTTGAGCACTTCTGCGGCATGTGTCTCGACAGCAAAACGGGTAGGCACTTATGTAAAAAGGTAGTGCGTGCGCATTCATGCATACATATTTACGTTCATGTACATACATTCATATATGCATTCATGCATGCATACGTACATAGACATGTATAGATGGTGTTCAGACACACTTGTACACAATCACGGTCCAACTATTTTCACATTGTTGGCTGTGGTATCATGCCGGTTTGACGAAGCCCGCCCACTCCGGAAGACGTGAGCTCCTGAAAGGCGCGAGGCGGCTTAAGAATCCGTCTTTGATTTGGCTCGAAGGATGGATGCACAAGCTGCGCATGGATGCGGTGCTTCAGTAGTGGGGGAGCAAGCTAGCCAGGTTTACATCCCCTTCCGAACATATTCTCGGCAGCCAAAGTATTCGCATGCATGACATGCGCACGACATCAGGAAGCAGACAATGAAGTTCCTCAGTGTCCACCACACTGGAGGGCACTGCCCGCAATGCAGAATTCATTCGGGATTTTCCACCCGATCCTCCAGCATGGTAATCACTGACGACAAGGAACTCAGCCGCGAAGCTTCAAGTAGCCAACGCTTAAACACACAAAGGGCAGACATATTTATAAGAGGCGCTCACATGCGTTAGGCCGCCGGCCGTCTCGCTCGTGTCCTGCCGCTTTGCCACACTTCTCGGGTGGTTGTCGCCGGCTATGTCGAGCGCGATGAAGGCCGGCACATCAATCGGGGAACCGGGAAAAGCGAGCACAGGTTGTGTTTGTTTCGGAATATCGCTTGTTCAGACGCAGATGTGCAGATAAATGTCAAATGTTTCTGTGGTTCTTGGCATGTGACAACTCTTCAAGACTTTCTCGGGCCGGTTTCGCAGCGTGCCGTGCTTTTCAGTTGGGAGACCTTGTGCAGATCCCGAGAGCACCTCCCATGTACCACGTGCAAGGCATCCAAGGCTTCCAAGACGTCCCATGGTGGCAGCCCGGGCAATGCGTCGCCTACCAATGGGTCCCAGAAAGAGCGGGGAGGGGGGGGGGGGGGGCGGGGGNNGCGGAGGCATGCGATGTTTATTTTGTTGAGGTCATGCAGCGAGACTCATAACGCACATGCACATAGACACAAGGACATGTTGCTGACTACTTCTTTTCAGTTTTCTCGCGCAAGTTTTGACTTCCTTTCAACCGTCAGCACTTGCCGGGTGCTGGTATGAGAAGGTCTCAACGGTCTCAACCGAAGGCCTGCAAGTTCCTTCTGAGACGACAAGCAATCTCCCAGACTCACCCGACTCCCTTTTCAGCCAGGTGGTCGGGCCGAACATCAAAGGAAGCCGAGAGGACTTGATGTTAGATGCGTCAGATGAGGGAGAGCTGAAGGGCTGGGGTGGCGGCGTGTTGAGAGCTAGGGAGCTTGATGTTCTGGAGTTATGTTTCGAGATCGAGGTTTCGGTTCGTTTCAGGAGAGGACTGGAGCATAGTTACTTGCATAATGTCCGGGTTCGGCTCTATTTAGTCTGGCCAGGTTGTTCAGTCTTGTTCCGAGAGCTTACATTGTGTGTGGTCTACAGTATCCATGTCGTATGTCCTTTCGAGGATTGAATCTTACCATTGCATGGTCAACTTCAGCGTATGGAGTTCCCGCAGATGCGTTTAGCATGCTCTGCCCTTCTTGCGCCAGACTTTCACTTATGTCGGGCGGGTCTTTAGCAACGGCATTGCTGAAATACAGCAGATTTGTATATCACTGTATACATCCACATGCCTGCATGTAACTATAGAAACAAAGAAATTCAGAGACAAAACAACGAATAGATGCATCGACAAGTAAATCAACAGGTACATGAACACATGGATGAACAGCAAAAAATATACCTGCAGGCTTATTTAGGGTGTATGTATGTGTGTATAAGTACATACACTTCTTCACACATAGATACACATGCAAGAGTTAGATAAAGCACATGCTAGCGGCAGCTCGACGCCTCCGCCCAGTGAGCCCAGGAGTACCAGCTGGTGATGCACCTTCAGTCCGCCCTCTTTGGCGGAGTCTACGAGGCCAAGGGGCGCTCCAGTGGCAAGGACTATGCGATCAAGGCCAGGGGGAGGGAAGTGTCATGTGTTCGACTTCAAGTGGCAGCAAAGGACCCTTTTTCGGAGCTGCCAGGGGGCTGCTGCATCCATGGCTTCGACGTGCAGTGCAGATAGTGCAGTAAGAACAGCTGCCAGGATGGTTCCGGTCGAACACCATTATGCTGCACAGCGCATGCTGTTGTTACGTGTGCTTGCAATGCTGCTGCTGCTGCTCCCACTAATACTGCTGCTCCTCCTCTTCCTCCTGCTGCTGCTCCAGTGGACTCTTGGCAATACGACGACTACGACGATCACATGGCTGCTTCTGCTGCAGATGCTACACGAGTTGACTGCGGCTGAAACTCCGATGTGGAGTCGAAATCTTCAAGTTTACTAGAGTCGGGCATGTACGGGTATCCTAGACTTCTTTGGAGTCGAGTCCGGCAAACGGAAGGGTGCCTAGTCAGTAAAGCCCTCCACAGTGAGTCAGGTGCTGCACAAGAGCGAGCTTCAGAAGGCCTGCCCTCAGGGGGGCAATTTCCTGCTGCTGTATGTCATGACGAAAGATCTGTTGGACGTACAGGTGGAGGAGAACGACTCCATCGAGTTCTGTGAAGTTCCACTAAGCGAACTCAAGTTTGCCGATGTGGCGCGGCTGCAATAAGTAGGCCGGCTTGATGCGAGAACCCACCCGAGCTCCGAGCATGCGGAGATCGCGGTTCCGCGTATTGTGATCCTACCCCTCAAAATGTTGCAGTGCGGCGTAGCTGTGAGTTGCAATCAGATTGAGACCGCAGGTCATGAAAGGGCACGAGCCACTTGGCCATATTTTGTTGGACGTGCACCAGGTCAACCAGTGGGACTCAGCAGGATCGGGAGAATAGGCTTTGGACGACGTCACAAGCCCACAGAAACTACAAAATTCTGCATGATCATGTTCCGTGTCGGATTGTGACGAGACTCTACTTTTGGAGAAGTTTGCGCGAACGCACTTCCTGAGCCTACAACGCGCAAGTTCGGAGAGAAAGCCTACACCCTCTGTTGCTCTGTTCCAAGGCATGTCATGGAAGTCGAAGAGCATTTCGAAGACCAGCACCCAGGCTGCATCGTCTTTCAGCAATCAGGCTCTTGGAAGCCTAAACCCTGAGGCTGGTCTTCTTCTGTAGTCCGACTGCACGCAGTGAGCCCTCGTCCAGCTTGTCCGAGTTTCGGGATCATAAATCATGGCGGCAGGAAACCCTAATCCCTTGTCGAGTTTTTTGGAAGCCCGCGAGCTGAGCTTGTTCAGAGCTAGCCACGTCGGGATCCAGACAGTGATGTCACCAAACGTGTTGAAGCGTTACAACATGCGATTCTAATCATTTTACAATACCTATTGTGTACGATGTGGATATCACTTGAGTTTTTGTTGTGTGGGCCTCGGTGTCCTTGTTCGATCCGAGGTATTGCCATTACTGCGTATTCGAGCTGTGTCGAGGTGCGCCACGGCCTTTTGAAATTTGCTGCTCAACCCCACGGCCAGAAGAGACGGACTTGGCTTCCCTGGCAGGTGGGGATCTGCTAGAAGCGTTGAAGCAGTGACTTGGTGGCCCTAAAGCTATCCGCCCGAAAGCTACCGGAGGGATTCAGGGACCACCCAACGTGTGCGTGCGCGAACCACGGGATACGACAGCATACAACTCACACAGGAATACACAGGGCTGTGGCGTCTGACAGCCTCGGCTAAGCAGGAGCTCTCAAAGGTACTAGAAAATCTCAAGAAGCGGACAGCCTTGTGGCTTTGGCACTGTGTAAGGTACGCCTTTGATTGATGGCATGTCGGATGACGAACTTAGGGAGCAACTCTAGCTCTAGACATCCCTAGAGTCGAAAGCTTAAACCCTACTTGTACCGGAAGCCCAGAACATCTTACTGCGGGATAGGGGTTGGAAAAAATAAGCAAGGATCAACAAAAATTAAATAAGGATAAACAAATGAAACCACAATTTGTGTGACATTCCTATCTAAAACCTATTGAATGTCTACAGAAGGAGCCATCAACAAAAAAATTAAATAAGGATCCAAAAAATTAACCCACAAAACCTTTTCCAATCCTATTGAAAGTCCAGAGAAGGAGGACAAGAAAGAAAGAAAGAAAGCAAGATAAAACGAAAGAAAGAAAGAACGAGACAAGGACATAAAGAAAGCAAGAAAGAAAGAAACAAACAAAGAAAGAAACAAAGACAGAAATAACGAAAGAAACAACCAAAGAAAGAAAGAAAGAAAGGAAGAACGAAAGAAGTAATTAACAAAAGAACAAAAGAAATAAATAAAGAAAGACAGAAAGAAACAAGCAAACACAGAAATAAAGAAAGAAAGAAAGAACAAAGGAAAGAAAGAAAGTAACGAAAGAACAAAAGAAAGAAGGAAAGAAAGAAAGAACGAAACAAAGACAGAAATAAATAAAGACAGAACAAAGGAAAGAAAGAGAGAAATAAATAAATAAAGAAATAACACAAGAATAAAAGAAAGAAAGAAATAAATAACTAAATCGAAAGAACGAAACAACGAAATAACTCCCCCCCCCCTAACCCCCCCCCCCTTTGTTTTAATCGGGCAGGCTTGCTTCAAAGCATACGAGTCCCTTCCAAACCCATGCTGCGAGCATTGCGTTTGCAAATTGGGGGGGGCTGCGCTCCCCCCAACCCCCCGTTTTTTTTTTAAAGCTCTTTTCTTTGGGTAGGTTTGCTTCAACGCATACGAGTCCCTTGCTGCGAGCATTGCGTTTGCAAATGGTGGGGCTGAGTAGTTTAATTGTTTTTGTCTTTATTTTCTTTTTTTGATCCCTTCCGCCTCATTTTCCTATGGTCTTTACTACATTGTAGTAATTTATTTTTTTGATCCTTAATTTTTTTTTGATCCTGTTGTTTAATTTTTTTGGATCCCTCACCCAACATCTTAGACCCTGAGCTCTAAACCCTAAGCCCAGGAAGCCAATGGGCTTCGACGAGCGGCAGGCGCAGTTCCTGATCCGACAGGCAGGGGCGCGAGCCTATGCTAGGCGACAGGGTTCCGCAGTTTAGGCCTTTCGGAGGGTTTAGGTCTTCTCATGGCTGCAGAGGGTGCCTTTTGAAGCCAAGATCGGGTTTCAGGTTGCGTTCTTCTGTGACTCGGCTTTTTTTTTTGAGATGGGCGGATGTTAGGTTCATCAGAGACTGGACGAAGGGTTAAAGTTGCCCTTGCCTCATATATTGTGGGGCGATTGAAGAGGCTCTTCAGACTTTCCCTTGTGGAAGAGCCCCTGCTGCCAGGCAGTGCTGGGCCTCGCCCACTTGCACGATCGAGGCCCGAGCAGGGCCATGGCGGACTTGGGGCTTCGGGGGACTTCTAGTCACTAGTCCTGACTTGTTTGAAGACTGTTGCTAGAATATGCTTCCTAAACGTATCAGCTCCCGCAGTAGACGTCTGCTGCTCCCTTTGGACCTGGGGTCCAAGCTGCGGTGGAAGGTTCCGCGCGAAGCAGAGCCCCACTTGGACCAGGAGTGGCGATGCAGGACGTCTCCTTGGAGAATATGCTGCTAAACATCAACCCAAGATGGGGCCTCAGCTGCTTTGCTTTCGGCTGTTGTGTTTTGCCTTGTGTTGAAGCCCACCATGACACTGACACGAGAGACCCCGGAGTGAGCCCCTCTTCTTCCAGTTATGGTTACGAATGTAATTACTATCATTATGTCCATTTGATTATGATCAGTATGTTTACATTATTAGCATCATGAATAATATTCTTAGCAGGACTATGATTAGTATTATCATGATTATTATTATGCCCCATCTTAGTATCAGTATTAATATGACTATTCGTACTATTCGTATTCCTCCTTTTACCTGGGAAGCTCAAGGCTCGGGCCACTGGCAGGTGTGGCTCTCAGAGGAGTCCAAGCATCCTGCGAGAGGGAGCGGGGTTTTCATGGGTTTAAAGTTTAGGGTTTAGGGTTTAAGGTTTACAGGGTTTAGGGTTTAGGGTTTAAGGTTTTTAGGGTTTAGGGTTTAAGGTTTAGGGTTTAGGGTTATTTTTTCTGGGCCATTGCAGAAGGAAAAGGGTATCCTAGATGTATGAGCTGCAAGTCCCGGGCGGTCTTCACTGAACACCTCTGTGACGGCTGACGCATCCTAAGAAGACAGCGATGCCCTAAACCATCAACCCTAAACATGTGCGTCGTCGTACCGGAACTCCTCGCCAAGTCTTGTCCGAGTTTGAGTGCTGAAACCCTAAACCCAAGTAGAGAGTGGAGGGGGTCGGCGCCACCAAGCTCTGCACTGTTTTTGGAAGGTGAAGATCTGCGATCCTGGTCAGGCCTGTCGGCCTTCGCAAGGTCTAATATAATGTAATATAATATAATATAATACAATCTATGTCATATAATATAATACAATATAATATAATATAATATAATATAATATAATATAATAGCATA